ACATTTCGGTGCACTTCACTCCTATGACAAATTCTGCCACATTTCTATTGCTCGAATGTGATGCTATTTTTGGGGCTCTGACTGTTTTCTGTAACCGCCAAATTCATAACTGTTTGTATTTAGTCAATGCTTACTACGAACAAGTAAGCTGTTGAAGTGCGCACGTGAAAAAAAAGATCCGCGATGATAACTCATATTATATAGATATTGACTCGGTACCCATATTTCAAACAGCCCCAAAAAGGGTATACGAGTCGTGAGTCGTTATTCTCACTGTTGCATAGAAGGGCAAGGATTGACTTCATGACTCTTTCAGTTTCATGCTGCGGTAATTTCAAAGCTCATAATGTTAAAATGCACGGCTTTGTATCTACTGTATTCCCATACCTGAGAAAACTATCTTATCGTAAAATTTGTTGTTGTTGAAAATACTGAAGCTTCAGTACTCCAAAGTCATATAGGAAAGGATTGATCTAAATCGATGAACGGTACAAAAACAGGTGCACAACCTTTGGGCATATCCACTGCAGTTTGGCCTTCTTATTTGGAACCTTTTCTTTCGTGATCGTTTTCACCCTCAATAAAATATTGTTGCTGTTTTATACCTGTACTCAACCTCCGAAGTGTTCACATTTTAGCTCAAATCTTCCTGGAACAAAGTTGTACTATAATGTCATCGTTTCCTGTGAATCTTTTTTCAAAGACTACACAGATTTTGCTTGATTCCAAACCAAAAACTAAGAAAAAATTGTTATGTTGAGTTACTGCTAAAACAAATTCTGTGATTCGAAAACAGATGAAATTCTCAATGCTGCCAACTTCGCAGCATTTTTTTTATCGTTCGAGTTTTTTTTTTTGCTGAAACTGAACTTATGTCATTGAATTTTGTCACAGTAAGAGATATCGGGCTGTTTCAAAAACTGTAATAAATGTGGCAATTTAATTTCAATTGTTCATATGATGCAGTGGGGTTTAGTGCTAGCAACGATCATTTCTAAAAAAAGATAAGTGAATTGAAGTTGGGCCAGGAAAACGTGGGGTGACTTCAAACACAACCCAGTACATTATAAGCCTTGACCTATTAGATCATTGATTTAGAAAATATGTAAAACTCCCTTGATACTTGGTCTCTATTGTTGGAATAGAGTAGCTCTACACTACCCGAGTAGATGTGAATTGGTCATTTGAATTAGCTTTGATTCTGGAAGTTGAAGAATTAAGTAAACTTCTGATTTTCAAAAACAATAACCATATCGCATACATTATCAATGAAGCGCTTAATGAGCCTGTTTGTGCGACTTAGTACGGATTAAACTGCGTGTCTCTCTTAACTATCGACAAAAATGTTGACAAAAATGGTTATGCAGAATTTTTCCGTTCCCATGTCGTTTAACGTACTACAACAATACATCTGACATATTTTATGTTGCTGTATCTCTATAAAAGCAAAACTAATTTCTTCCCACATTGCGACAGTTTTATAACCGGAAACGAGGAGTCTTTTTTCGATCAAACATTGCAAGGAAAAGAAATCTTATAAGTGACTGCATGTATGCCTCTCTATTGAAACTGTTTTCATAATGAAATAGCCTTAAAGTATCCACCAACAATACAAAAACCGTATATCTACAATTCTCTTAGCCAAAGTCAATTTGCCTTATTCTGACTGTTATTCCATACTTGGTTTGCGAGTCGTGCAGATAATCTTAGCGTCGCATAGGAGCTCGATATGTGCATTAGAGCACATTTGCTACACATCTATAATTGATTGAATTTTAGTGTCAAAGCTTGGCTTACTTCGAGCAATTCATCGGTTTATCCGTAGCTAGTGTTCCTGTTTTTCATTTTGAAACTGACAAATACGCTTCACATTTTGTAAAGATAACATTCTTCTCATTTAAAGAGTCCGCAATTTTTGTTTGTAATGTAGTCATGCATACAATGATAGAATGCGAAAATTCTCGAAGAAATGTTATTAGGCTGGCTAATAAATAAGCTCGTTTTTGTATTCATATTAGTTTCATAAAATTCACGTAGAATCATTTATGATTTTTCTGTGAGAAAAATGTCGCCAAAAAATGACAGTTACGCCCTTATAGGTGGGCTTCCAAAAAATAGTTTGATTTTTTGAATCTCGTTCCCTTCCCTCTCTGTATTGAGTACACGTGTGAATAATTTGATGATTGGATACATACAGCCATTGGGTAAGTGGCAAACTACAACGGAGATTGACCTGTGTTTGTGAATTTCTGCAGCCGAAAATTCGAAAATTTTTGAGCATTTGCGCGTGGAAGTCAATTCTGGGCAATCCCGATCACTCGAATTTGATTATTTATGGCCATGCAAATGGTTCGATTTATGATTTGTTATGTGGATACCGAATCTACATTTTACACATGACTTCAGTTCGTTTTTCTGAGTATGTTTTTTCAAAAATTTGGGGGAAAAACTGACTATTTTTCTTTCCTGCTCCATTTCGTAATCAGAAACATCATTCTTGAAAAAAAAAATGAGTAAAGCATCCATTTCTACTTGATCTGCTCTTTCCAATGTTATTTGATACACATACAAAAGCTGATTTGTGACATTTCTACAAATTGCTAAAAACGATCGAACTTATTTTTCAGCCAACTTAACGTTTGAAGTCATAAATCACAAATTTGCCTTTATATCTCAAGAATTATCTTCCTATACTACAGAGTGTCCCACAAATGCACTGTTTGATTGCTAATAACTCTCTTGCTTTACTCCTTTCGCCGAGCTGGAGGTGCCATTCTGTAGAGTGGAGCGAATCATTCAACATTCGTTATTGTAGGTTAACGGGAGGAACTCCGAGAAAAACCTTATGAAATTAAAAGCGAGTTTTGCCCTAGAAGTACCAAATTAGCCAGAAGTTCTTCTACTGGATTAATCAAAGTCGCTGATTTCAAATATGAAAACTGCACTTTACTTTAATGCTTTTGTTATAGCGACTCCTTTTTCCAATGTACGTCAGAAGTGTGATTACGCCATTAAGAAAACTCGAGGAACTGGTAAGAAGTTATGTAGTGAATCAGCACTCCTAAAAGCCTTGCTACACAAATTTCTCGATTTTTTGGAATCCTTTTCATTGAAAAGCCTATTTCACAGTGGCCATATGCTGGAAGTTTACACCGTTACCCTACAGCAACAAAGAAAGACCGGATATTCGTTCATGCTGTAAATCTAAACGAACGTCGCTCTACAGAATGGAAATTCAAGCACGGTAAAAGACATGGAAGCGAGAGAGTTATTAATGATCAAACAGTGTTCACACTTTTCGAGACACCCTGTATATAATGCCTAATCACATCAACTTCATATCTTATCAAAAGATAACCATTACGCAGTCATCTATGAATTTTCTTAATTGTGATGGTAGGATTTTGCATTCTCATATGTGCTGTGACTAGAAGCCATACCGATCGTATTTTTTGAAAAAAAGACGCAAAGTCGCCCGAATTATGTGACATCACCGGAGCGTGGCCATATCTCATTTCAAAGAGGACGAATTCTCAACCCAAGGGCATCTACTCAACTCGGCGCTGCGCATCTTCTCATATATAGGAGCGTTGTTTGGAGACACTAGGAGGCCAGATTCCACGAACCGTTTTTTATACTTACGGTAGGTTACTCAGTGTGCTTTTCATTGCACTGACTCAACCTATTGTAAGCGAAAATCTGAAACGATTCGTGTACTCTGGCCTCCTACTGTCCAAACAAAGGCAATTCTATATACCAGAAGATGCGTTGCGCCAAGCTGATGGTGCTCTTAAATTAAGAATTCGTCCACTTTGAAGCGAGATATGGTCACGCTGCGGTGATGTCACATGAATCGGGCGGCTTTGCGTCGTTTAGAGAAATACAACCGGTATTGTATTTCCTCTTTGGCTGAAGAAATAAATTGCTCTCTCATATGACATTTTTTTCGATTTTAACTCTATTCGCTATCTAGTGGTGCCTTTCAAGTAATTACGATTGAAAAACTATTCTCATGCCTCATGATTTAAAAACGCATTGGCATCTGGAGTCTTTATCAATTTTCAATGCTATAATCTCTCTATCATTCTTTGCTGGATAGTATCCTGGCTCTCATATGTACCTGAATGAGTGTCGCATGAAATCTTTTTACCAGTATTGATTTCAAGTTTCTGTCTAGATTTAGTGTCATTTCTTCTTTTTTATTACTGACTATCACTTAGTTTGTCTGCTGTTTTATGATAGGCGCATTTCTTGTGCATTAATAAATAAATGAATAAATAAATAAGTAAATAAATGAAGTACGTAAGTCTTGCCTCAGTCGTTTATCGTTGAAAAACGAATAGCCGGAATTTTTGAGTGCGATCACTTCTTAATTGTGCACCCTTGAGAGTGAAACATTTTACTTGTTTATTTGCCTTTTATCTATATCTATTATTAAACTTCTTTACCTTCATTATTTTACCTTTTTAGGACTATTTATATCAAAATGTGGAAATCCTTCGGCCGTTCGTGCACCTCATTTTGATGCCTGGGAACTCTCCAAACTTCCAAATCAAGTTCGCGACATTATGAACTAAGATGCCTTATCTGGTTGCTAATGAGAAACAATAAGCGAATAGTCTTAACGGCACAATTGATGCGCCCCCCCCCCCCTCCAGTCAAAAGTTATGTACTGATGGATTCGTCAAACATGAAGTTTGTGCGAGCAACCTCCGTGTTCAGACAGTATAAAAACGAAAATTTGTTTTTTTTGGAACTTTTATATGCACCGGAACATTGTTGTTCATTTCATTGCTATAGTACGGACCAACAGTAATCCGCTGTGAGCAAACATGGAATACATTGCATGTTGTATAACAATCGTCAGTAAAACAATATTTATAATCCAGTAGTCTCGTCAAAATACTTCTTCCACACTTTGCTTCCTGAATCTGCGTATAATAACTGTTGATTCATGGCAAACATGCTCCACTTATCGTTTCATTTTCGCTCTTTCTTCTTTTTCAAACCCAACTTCTCTCTTATTACAGAACTTCTTCTCACAAGGTACATCGAGACCTTTCGCGCCGCAATTTATGGTGCTGTTTCGGTAGTGATGCTTCCCAACCTTTCGATTGTCAAAAAACTTGGATCCGTTCTCTTACTGATATGTAAGTCACCTTCCATTCAACTTTATAGACGTACGGAAGGACATGACAGTGATCTCAAATATGACTCTATACGAACACTCACCCAATAAGAGCAGTCCCAGACTACTGCCGGAACTTCCGCAGAACGTTTCGGCGTTCTGCCGGGTCACCTGCGGAAGTTCTGTGAACGTGCTGTGGAAGTTGCCAAATGAGGTGCTGAGGAACTTCCGAAGGATGCGAACGGCTGACATGTTCGATAATGCACTCTAGTTGGCGAGGCAACATCATACGAGACAACACATTCAAACCTGCGAAAGTTCTGGCATATCAAAGTGCTGCTGAACCGCTCCCATTCGAAAGTTCCGCAGCCCTTTGTAAGAAGTCCCACGGCAGTTCCCCTTTTCATCCAATCTGAGGTGAATATCCTGTGGATTTCACCATTTTCGACGTTTCTACTTTTAATAGCAAACAAAATCCTGCGGAACCGCTGCAAATTTTGCTTGTCCTGCGGAAGTTTCGGTGAATTGTCTGAGACAGATACGACCAAGCTTTTTTCTCGGACCGACACATTCGTTTTTCTAAACTCACCGCGATTAGCGTTATTTAAGGATTTCAGAACATTAAGCAGGTTTTTCCAGGAGTTTAAAAGCTGCTAATACATCAATTGATAGAGGCAGTCAAAGGCACGTCCCTGCGTTTTGCCCCTGAAAGCTATCAAATGCGCAACCCTTCCTTCCCTTGTTTTTTTTTGTATAGGAGTAAGTCTATTGGAATTATCTGCATGAATGATGTCAGCAGTTAAGATCGCCAGGTAGCTCAGCAGCACACGGGATGTATGCATAAATCGTACACCAATAATCTACAGGGTGTCCCAAAAAGAAAACACTGTTCGATTGTGATTATCTCTCTTCCCATATTGTCAACTGCCGACATTTAGGTACCATTCAGCAGAGCCGGTGTCGACTTACATTTGCAGCATTGTGCTAATCATTGATCATTCTTTACTACTGAAAGATTACGGTAGCAGGAAGAGATATGACCCACTAAGAGTCATTGCCTCCGACAATGGAAAAGAGAAGCTAAAAACTTTTGTAGTAGGCCAATCAGGTCCGCCAACTTTCAATATGAGACTTGTACTCTACCGCAATGCTTCTTTAGTAAGTAATGTATAGTGTAAGTATCGTTTTCTCAATGGTTTTCAAAAATGTGATAAAGCCATTCAAAAGCCTGCGCAACTACAGTCTGCTCCAATCGGGATCAGGCCGAACCGTCGGCGTAAATTTGCGCGCTCGCAGCGCTCGAGGTGTGCGCTGCATATGCGCGTATGCGCGCTGTCGCAGAGAGCAAAACGATTGTAGAGAGAGCAGCGAAAGGCCGTGGGCGTGACCGCGAAACCCTCGCGACGCGGACTCCCGCCATGCCAATTTTGGCCTGATTGGGATTGGGGCAGACTGTAACTAGCCAATTCAGCATGCGCATAAAATCTGCTGCATCATTTTTCACTAATTGGGAATTTTCTTTGGAACCGTTGGATTCACAATGGCGTTATCAGAACTTCCCACCGTAATCCTGCGCTTGAAAACCGGTTGGCGATTATTATACTGCAGATCTAACAATAAGCTAATCTACAAAATGGCTCTAAAAAATGGCTCCTAAACATCGGCAAATAGCGTTGTGAAAAAAGAAGTATTGAACATTTGGGGCTCCCTGTATGTTTAGATTAAACTATTATAATATAAAGCGCATAATCTCTTTTCTTTTACAATATCCGCGTTGGAGACAGTTGGAGTTTGCCGAACGATGAGGGTTGTAGTATAAAATGGTTACACACATGGGGGTTGTTTCATGATCCAATTATTATATTTTTTGAAAAATGAAATTCACTGTCAAGCAAGCAGATGAGAAAAAAGGAAAAGAACTTTGTTTACATGATTGCGAACCGCTACTCTATCTACTGTCATTGTTATCTTTGCGCATCATGTTCGCGAGTGTTATTCAACTGCAGTTTTTCTGCAACAGAGTGTACCACTCTATTGCTCTGATGCAAATGGAACACACCGATATCAGGATATTTTAGTCACTTCTATCCTCTGTGAAATAGTAAATTAATTCTCTGATTCGTACTAGAAACAAAACTATTAGGTTGTCCGGAAATTAATGTCGGTTTTGAATTTCAACTGTAATAATTCGTACACCTCTCATTTTAAAATAGGTTGCACACATTACCATTCGATAAGGCCTTGAGCAGAGTGTTGGAAGAGTGTTGGGCAGAGTGTGCGCGCGATTTGTTCGTCGCGATTCAATCGTTAAAGACAAGTGTTACGAGTTCATTGCATGCCGATCTTCTTGTATTTCGGTTGTGATAGTTTTCCTAGTAGTGTTGGAAAATTATCACAACCGAATTACAAGAAGATCGGCATGCAATGAACTCGTAACACAGAAAAGCGATTGAATCGCGACGAACAAATCTCGTTCTGTCCGAGGCCTAAAGCGAAGCAAGCTCTATAAAATGGCAATCTTGCTTTTGTACCAAATTCGATACACCTCGAGTTTGAAGCCAAAAGCTAAAAAGACTCCATTGCCCAAAAAATCGAGAAAAGTCGTACTGCAGTTCATAAGAATCTTACAAAAATTCTAATTTGCTCGCGTAAACACTATCCACAAAAGACATTTATATGCGAAGTTGCCGCATTTTTTCCTCTGTTAGATCTCAAAAGACGAAAATCATCGTGCATTTGCCAAAGTGGTGGTGCTGTCCCCACATAAATACTCAGACAATTATTGCGAACACCCGCGGCCTTTAACGGTATCATTCGGCAATGCGCGGGCGTCAAATTCTTGCACTAACCATCCGCGACCCTAGATTTATTTGCTTGGCGACCCGCGGCCCAATGTTATCATTACGGAAAGCCCGCGGGCCTCAAATATTTTATCGGAACACCCGCGGCCCAAGAAAAACCACATGGGCGAGCCTCGGCCCTTACAGGACTCCTTGCATATGTAGTTTTCGGGGAAGCCCCGGCCCTTTAGGCCACGGCCCGACAGAACAACTCTGGCGAGCTCCGGGCCTTGCTGGATGCTGCAATTCTTACACGCTGTAAGAGGAAGCGTTATTTGCCTGAGATACGGCGCGGTGATAGAGCTACCCTCCACATTTGGTCGCAAGGACAAGCCAAGTTCTGGTCGTCAGTCTCTTGGATGACACAACTGGAGCCCTCGATTGTGGTTAGAGTACCGGGTGCGTATCGAGCCACCCACGGGTGCGAATAGCGCATTTATCGGGCGCTTGTCGGGCCACACGATGGTATTATTCGGGCACTTCGGCGCGCCCTTGGGATGGGCGTGGCGTCGCCCGTGGGTGGTCGGCGGGTGCTCGCCATAATTGTCTGAGTAGATGTATACTACAAACCTGTAAGAAGTACAAACGTAAATTTCCAGCTCTCTACAAGCTTTAGCTCTCGAGAAATTTGAATTTTAGCTTGGACCACCTAACTACGTAGGGAAAGCTGTTTTCGATATTTTTGGGAATAAAGCTTGCAAGCTGAAAATTTACTTTTACAATTCTACAGGTCTGTAGTATACAACTATTTATGTGAGGACAGCACAGCTTGCTTAGGCAAACGCACGAAAAACTCCGTTTTCTCGATTTCCAACAGAAAAAAGACGCGGCAACAGCGTATATAGATGTCTTTTGTGGGTAGTGTTTACGTGAGCAAGTAAGAATAGTAAGGTTTTTATGAACTGAGTTACGATTTTTCTCGATCTTTCGGGCACTTGAATCCTTCTAGTTTTTGGCTCGAAACTCGAGGTGGTTGAGAGCTGTTGCAAAAGCAAGATTGCCCTTTTGTAGAGTTTGCTTTGCTCTATTGCATGGTGCTTTGCAACCTATTCAGAAGTCAAAAGCGCATGACTTATCGCGGTTAAAACTCAAAACGGGCTGTAATTTTTCCGGACAACACATGCAGTGATCGCCAACGCGTATGGTTTTTCCTACCGTATGCATTCCAGCCTCAAAATGACGTGAACTGGTGACGAACCGCCTCGCTTCGGACTTACGTTCGGTTCCGGTTGCTCGTTCGGCGTGGCTAAGGGATATCAACAGCAATGCAAGAGGTCTGCGCCACGTTGCTTTTCTCGCCACGCCACGTCAAACGATGGGTTCGCAACGTGGCGCAGGCCCAAAGCGAGGCGGCGCCGCACCAAACCAGGCCATGTTGAGGCTGGAATGCATACGGTAGGAAAGACCAATACGTATTGAAATAGACTGTATCAGCACATGCTCGTAGGAGAAAGCGCTGTAATTTGATGATGGAAGTTTGGCATAAGAATGCGTCCCGTGCGGAATTCAGATTTCTGAGCACCTTTTCAATCAGTGTCAAAAATACTCGTATGAGCATCCACATTTGAAGAGAAGATTTGAAACAAAACACACACGCACCTTAACAAACAATCAATTAATGTCAACATAAGGATACAGTGTCATGCGTTATATGAAAGCCAAAATGTTTCTGTGATAAATGCTCTGAGACAGGGCTCAGCAGAGTTGGCGCTTTCATAAGCTAGATGTCGTTTCTGAGGGGAAAGCAAAGGGAATCCAACCGGAAACCTGACGGAGCATTATAAAGCACAACTTTAACTCTTACCAAGCCCGAATTTGAAGTTCTAACGTAATTACACTTGCATGACTTACCACGTTACAAACACTAGTAGTGAATAAACCTGTACACGATTTCATCGTGTCAAAACACAATCTTTACGCACAAAAATATAAACAATCGGATTTACAACGAGTAAGCATACCTTCGATAGTATAGAGACACGGCCTCAAAAGTGGAGGTTGTTTGAACATCTGACGTCATAAATAGTGAAAGTTGTTTAAAGAAGATCAGGAAAGAGAAAATGACGTAAAACAGATATAAAAAGCAAGAAATAGGAAAAGAAACTGCTGAAAATCGGATAAAAACGCTGCAATGAGGTTTGAATTCTTTCATCTGGCCGCTTTCCAAAGTGCAAATTCTCGCTCCAGGACCAGCAATTCGCAACACGGGGTTTTGATTTTTGATGCGTCCTTTAAATTTTTACCCCCGCATTGACGTTCCTGTTCCTGGGACGTTGTCTGGATTGTTGCGCTTATTGTTCTGAGCAACAATCGCCCAAGCTGGAAAAAAATCGATACGAAGGCAATGAGACAAAACAAGGTGAAGAAAAACGCACTTTTTACGATTTTTCGCAAAAAATTCCACCATAATCGAAGAGGTAAGGGTTGGGTGGTTGTCTGCATTATGAACAGAAGCAAGATTTATAGAATGCACGAAAAAACCGCGTGAACAGAGTTAAATTAGGAGAAAAACAAGAGATTTTCGAAAACAAGGTTTTTGCCGGATTTCTCAATAAAATCAAAAAATATGGTTCTGGGACGTTGTCAGCGTGAAAATAGAGATCAAGAGCTTTAAAATGATATATAGCTTGCTAACACTGAGTTCGAAACAGCGAAGAAAAGGGTATCAGAGCCAAATGCCCCGCGCCCCGCGTTTGGGGTAGCGAGGTAGCGCGCAGCGCGCGGAGACGCAGACGAGCAGCGGAGACAGACCAGAGCCGACGGGGCATTTGGCTCTGGTCGTAGATCTCTGCGGGGTCTCAACGAAACCCTGCATAGATATATATTATCCTGATCGTCATGACGCGACAAGGAGAACTGACAACGTCACAAGCTTTGAAAATCATTCGTTAACGAAATAGACCAGCGTATTCCTGCGCGATTTTCTGCGCAAGATTTAAGCGCAGTTTCTCGTTTTTGTTTAACTCCTATAGCTTTCCTAAACTTGTGAAACTCGATTTTGTTCAAATGAGAGGTTATCTGACAAATTTTGTCCTGAATTCTGGCAAAAATTCTACTGAATCCTTCTTTTTATGGTAAAAAAGGCTATGAAAACGCAAATTTCCGGTTTTTCTAAAACAATCTAAAGAATTCTGTCCTGTACTCGCTTTATACACATTCGTTGCAATATAGTCAGGATTATAACATCCGGGGCGAAGTCCCGGATGACTTCTGTTTTTTCCAGGTGAAGGTTGTGTCCCCTCATAGCCCTCAAAGTGAAGGTTACCAGAGTACGTGGCTCTATGTATCGAGGGTATGCGAGTAAGCAATATTGAGCTATCAAATTTGGTATGTACATCCGCGGCGACGACCAAAAGAAAAGTAAGAAAACTTATGAAAAATTATGCGAACGAGAGGAGTTGTAAGTGCTTTTCATCTTGGGTTGCTCCCACGCAACCTGGGAGCACCCTGAGGTTGCGCGGGATCAGTTATAAATCTCAATAATTCTCCCCTTTCCTCGTTTAACTTTCCAAATTTTTACATGAATCTATTCTTTAGATCAAGCTCTGCCTTTGGGTACTCAACTTAACCCAAGTTTCATCCCCTATGTTTTGTTACGGCTCTTTATGTTATCAAAACAGCCTTCTTCGCATTTCGCTTCTTAGTCTTGATTTATTCTTGTCTTTTCTTCGTTTTAATCCACTTTTTTCGTTGCATATTATCAGAAAAGCGTCTAAAAACACTATAAAAGGCACCTCGTAATTTTTTGCAATGCCAAGAGAGACTTCGTTTTTGAAGTTCTCGTATGTCACCTTCCGCTGGGCCCTGTTCTGAGATTCGCTTGTACCGGCTACAAATATGAAATCAATTTAATCTATTAGACGGCTTCCACGTGATTATATCAAAGATAAAAAATGTATAAACGATGCAAAATAAAAGAAATCATCATAGCAGCGCAAATCTGCAGAAAGTGTTACCGATTATTGCAGGGAAAACATGAAGATTGATACCCATTATTTGTGATTTACCTATTACAATACCGCCCACAGGTTTTGAAAAATAGACGCGAATGTATGCACATGTATGGACATGTACGGACATGTCCATACATGTATGGACATGTATGGACATGTCGCTACATGCCCACACATGTCCATACATTCGCGTCTATTTTTCAAAAAATGTGAGCGGTATTGTATGATGAAAATATTTGCAAAAGAATTATGTTGCAACACTGATGTTAGTAATTTCAGACTGTCTCCTCATTCTGGAGTTTAGCTTGCCGATGGCATTTCTCAAAGGAAGTGCTCAGAATCGATTAGCAGTGCACAAAATCAGTTTTGTGAATTTCACTCAACATTACAAATACGTCATGTTGCCAGAGTTATCTTTATGTGATGGCTCACGTGGGCAGTGAGTACTTTTTTTCATTCTAGTTTGTTTGAGCATTGACAGAGGAAGTTTAATTCAGAAAGTAGGCCTGTCAACATGTAAAAAGGGTTTTAGTAAATTGGTCATGACTTTTTTAAGTATTTTTTGCCTTGGAATCAGGTTGTTACTACAGCCAGGAGTGGAATGTCTCAGCTTACTTCTTCTTCTTCACTTTCTGCTCATTCTTTCAGCAAAAGCTATTTTTTTACACATATATATTACGATTAGTTCAGCAATCCTCTTTTGGTCGCTACTGTCCTCTCTGTCGCAAATCATAGCGAGCGGCGTCGAGCCATACGTGAAACTTGGGCGTCACCTAGGGAATCGGATTCTATAAGAGTGAGTTTGGAAAACCTGAATATATGGTGAACCCTAGAGAGCGTTCCACAATAATCTTCTCATTTGTACTTCTTCTAAGTAATTGTGTAAAATGGTCAATTTCAGACTGGTCGTGTGCTAGTGTTCTTTATCATATCCTCTCCAGTTTCCATACATGATCTGTATAGTCTGCAAAAAGAGCAGAAAAAGCATAACGACTTAATTGTTACGGATTTGCCCGAATCCTATGAAAATCTCTTTATGAAGGTGAGTTCCTATGTTATGCTTTTCAAAATCGAAAAATACTCTGCAGGTCTATGCATCTATTGTCTTTCACCAGCAATACTGTCCTAAGGCACAGTTTCTTATGAAAGTAGATGACGATGTCGTGGTCCACCTTGATCGAATGATCGACTTGTGGAAGAGGGGTGTTGGAGCTGATCGCTCTATGTTCTGCCAAATATGGACGAAGTCACGGCCGAGGAGAGATCCTCGGAGTAAGTGGTGAGTTTGGGTGGGTTTAAGAACAAGAATTTGGACCAACAATAAGTTGTCGAATTCCGATCAGTTAACTCCATACAAGGATAAGCTGCTATCATAAAGAAATAAAATATTGTCTGCCTAGAGCAAAAATTTGGTTTCGCGTAATTCATCATCAGGGCTCGACACAGTGGCTTACAAGCAAGCTGGATATCGTTTTAGGACAAAAAGCGAAGGGGGTTTGCTTTTGTGGCCGAAGAGACACAAAATTTGCGACTTTTTTCTCGTCGACGTTACGTTTCTTAAGGCTTTTTAGGAATTATGGTCTAGGGTCAAAGGGCAGGGCCTGGCACGAGTCGGTTTCTAGAGTTTCTGAGAACGAAGTCTCCCCTGACTTTCGGAAGTTTTACGAAGTCCCCTTTGACCTATTTGCTTACTATTCTGAAAGAAAAAAAACGTAAGATAAGACTGAAAATCCAAATTGGAGTGAATACCACGCATGCACAAGAGTTTGGCATTGGAGCGCGATATTTTACAGAGCGATATATGAAGAAATGAAGGCAAAAAACAAAGGAAAGGCAATGATATGAAAATGTCTTCATGCTCAAGGATAGATTTTTGACCGGGAAATTTGTCCATGATAGAAAAATCCAGAACTTATGTGAAGTGACAAAAATATATGCTCCAGACGATCTCAGATCGTCTGGTGGCCGTCTGGAGACGATCTAATTTTGGAAAACGTATTACTTCACATAAGTTTTCAAACCTTTTTACATAGATCTTCTGCAAATAATTTTCTAAGTTACAGTTCAATTTTGGTGCCATACGATTCTGTGTGCGCTGTAAACAAGTTATTTGTTGATTTTGGCCTTACTTTCAAATCGCGCGCACTTTTCGCGATACGAGATAGAGCATGTCAATCGTGTGATAACCTGTCCGAAAAGCTTGTATTCGACTAAATGGCGCTTATTCTTGGTGCTGGGCCCCGACTCGTCAAAAACGATATCTCCTTTGCTTTTTGCTTCAAAAACGAAGTCCAGCCTGCTTCCAGACGATCTATGCCGGGCCCTGTCAAAGGGGACTTCAATTCGCAAAAGTCAAGAAGGACTTCGTTTTTTGCATTTTCAACTAGCCACCTCGTGCCGAGCCCTGTTCATCATTTACAATATCCTAGAAAAAAATCTTATAGTAAGTACTTTCTGTTTTCCCCATGCAAATATAGCTATCGATGACTATGAAATGCGAACACCAAAGCATACAGTGTAGAATTTTCGAGAAAATCAAGAAAAATTGAAAAAAAAACAGGTGCATGGAGATAATCCTTGATTCAAGAGTGTAGTGGTTCTTTTTACTCAAAACCTGCATTTGTATCTAATTAGTAAGAAAAGTTCTTGACGAAGAATTTTGTGATTTGAGAAGATGCACAAATGGGAATTAACAACTTTGCATAGGATAAACATAAAATAGCGCCTCTAATTAAACCTAAGGGGTTCTTTTTAATGTCGGATGCCTCTCATAAGGATCTTTACTATTTTTCATTAACCCAACAACCTCGAAGAAGAAATTTTTCTTATTGTTCTGCAATTGCCCACCCCATCCGTTCTTCCCATCTCAATCGAAAGACATCTGATCAAAACATACACAATTTTGACATTTCAGGTATGTGCCGAAAGAGGTGTGGCCGGAACCTTACTATCCTGGTTACTGCAATGGCCCTATGTACATAATGGGTAAAGAAGCTGGACAACGTGTACTTGATTACGCACAGATATTCCCGCCACTTACTATAGAGGTTTGAGCAGTGGATGATTGAGATGCAGCAATCCAAACTTATTGAATTTTTTCAGGACATACTTTATACTGGGATTATTGCTGAAGTAGCAGATATACAAAGAGTTCAATGGGGTGTCAGTATGATGCCCGTTTCTCGGGTGAGTACTGTTTATGTTTACTGTCCTGAGGCGCCAAAACTGCAACATTGTTAGAATGTCTAATATTTTTCTGCAGTAATTATCTTCGCGCAATTGGACCTAACGAGATGTTTAAAGAAAGTACAGTCTTCGTTTTGCTGAATCCCAGCAATTCTAAGTTAGTGTGCGCAAGCTAAAGCATATCTTTGAAATTGAACAGCCCATCGATCTTGTCAGCTCACTCCAGAAACTTGTTCCTCTAGGGAGCATATTAGCATTATGCTCATCTGAAGAGACGAGAGCTTTCTGATAACACCTACTCACCGATTTGTTAAGGTTTATTCCACTTGAATAAGTGGGCCAAATGGCCTTGATTAATTTCAATATATTTGCTTAAAATTATACTTTTTTAAAACTTTGTATTCGAAACAACCTTTCATCACGATACCTCACATCTTGGGCTACATCAGGGTAAATTTTTGTGGACAAAGGAGTATTCTGAATGCGCTAGAAAGTTGTGCATTATTCCGTCCTAAACATGGGATTGCGAAGCTCAGTAGTTGAGTCTCACAAGTGAGGGTCACGAAGTCGAAGCAGCCGATCACCGTAAACGGCATACTGGTAGTCAGAGTTTAATACACTGATTTCAAAACTGCTCTCACTATTTGCTAAGCACCTTTATGAGGAGTTAGAGGAGTTATGATCATTATTCCACTTGAATTTAAGAGTCTTTTTTTAGAGTCCAAAAACGAACTATTGGCCGGGAAATCCACAATCGCTACAGCCTGTTTAGAGCTCGAGTGAAGCCGGCTAATTTCGGATTTCATGCAACCTTCTACTGCGTAGTGTACCAGTATCTACTCCTCCATTTCACGTCTAGAAAGGCTGTAGCGACTGAATTTATTCCGGCCATTTGTTCATTTTCGCCTCAAAAAAGTCATATCTTCTTTTTTGAAGACGCTCTGCAGGCAAGAGAAGCAGATTAGAATTAGCTCTTCAAGCTCTTACAAATTCTGCAGTTACGGTGATTGGCCTCTTGGACTTTGTGTTCTAGAATGAAGCACTCATAAGTTCTAGAACAAATAGAAAAAGCTTTCAGCTTCTTCCTAGGGCTTATTTGAAGAGGCAGTTATATGCATCCCTCTAGATGACAAACAAGTTTTTTTGTAGAAAGAGATTATTAGTAGTAAGAAATTGGCGAGAGATTTTTATTTCATCAAAAATCTTATATATAAAGCTGAATGTCTGTTTGTATGTCGTCTGTATGTCTGTACGTATGTTCCGAATAGAAAATTCCATTTCTGAACCGATCCGGACCAAACTTAGCACACATACACTTCGGGCCCCGGCGGGTGTCATAGGCTACTTTTCGTCATCGATCGATGTCGATTTTATCGATTTTTTGCAAAATTTGAGCTACGGGGCTGGGAGTTGGCACAGGGGGGTAAGTGAGCATGGGGATTCCGAATACAATATTAGTTTTTAAAATCGTGCATTACTTTTATCGATTTTATCGATTTTTTTGCAAAGTTTGAGCTAGGGGGCTGGGAGTTGGCACAGGGGGGTAATCGAGCATGCTGATCATCCCCAAGGGGGGTGATCAGCATGCTCGATTACACCCCTGTGCCAACTCCCAGCCCCCTAGCTCAAACTTTGCAAAAAATCGATAAAATCGATAAAAGTAATGGACGATCTTGAAAACTAATATTGTATTCGTAATCTGCATGCTCGATTACCCCCCTGTGCAAAATCCCAGCCTCGCATGTCAAAATTTACAAAAAATCGATAAAATCAATAAAAGTAATCGATAATTCTGAAAACTAATATTGTATTCGGAATCCCCATGCTCACTTCCCCCCTGTGCCAACTCCTAGCCCTGTAGGTGAACTCTGCAAAGAAAACGATAAAAATCGGTAAAATCGACATCGATCGGTAACGAAAAGTGGACTGTGACACCCGCCGGGGCCCGAAGTGTATGTGTGCCAAGTTTGGTCCGGATACGGCGGAGCCGGGTAAGCCAGCTAGTGTGTTATATATTAGGTTGATTCATAATTAATGCACGTTTTTCGAAATTCATCTTCAAAGCGCCGTAATTCTTTTCCCACATCATCTTTCAAGGAGCAATAAGAACTGTTGCAAATAGCAAACCTTTGGCTTTACAACACATGCTTTTGTTCATAGATAAATGTGACGAGAAAGTTTGTACAATCCGAAAAATGCCAAAAATTTTTTCAGAAACCTCTATTTTAAGAAAGCATAACTTACTCTCAAAGGTAAGAGGAAAGCGCAAACTTTGCTCATTGTGCAGCCAATGGTCAAGAGAGCAGTGGCAAAAAACTCGGATTTTACAGTAATTTTCTACGACGAGATACTGCAAAAAGTTCAAAAGTGATCATTTTTTCTAGCTTTTTCAGAAGAGCGAAAAATTGTCTTTTTTGAGAATTTTCAAAATTTTTGCTATTGAAAAGGTGTAAAATTTCACGGTTTTTCTATCACTCGATGTGCTATGTCTATTCTCTGTGTACGAAGCAAAATCGCAGTCATTGGTTTCTGTTTTGAAGTTTTATACGACTTCGAAAGGCCACAACGATCGGCCAAGTTTGTGGTTGAATCTCTCATCTCAGAACTTTTGCAAAATTCTGCTTTATAAAGATTTCTATAGCAGAAAGCTTCGCGATTGTTAGGCATATTTTTTGAAACTAACATCTTTTGTTTTCATGGAATTAGAGCAAAAAGAATAAAAGGAAAAAATTTCACGTTTTAGTCCCTCATATTCCAAAGCGTGGAATTTCGGTATCGTACAGAGAGTCACGAAAAAGAAAGGGTACACAAGAAACTAGAAGAAACGCCCTTTCAGATAGCATTGAAATTTTTGGGAAAGATTCAGTTTCCTTGAAAATCAGCGCTTGAAAAAAGAGGTGACAAAAACGTGCATTAATTATGAATCAACCTAATAAAACAGCGGATCTGAAAAACATCAAAAAACCGAAAAAATTGAAAGTCACAATAATTCGTTGAAACATGATATCATCACGGATTTCTTGCTCAGAAGAGTGATTTATAAAAACCCATGCCTCTAGAAATGCTAAATATCGTGAATGTCTAGCCTCACTAGTATTTTCACCGCATTTTGCCGATTTTCAACTACAGAATAGAGCACTCTTTTTCTCTCTTCAAAATTTGAAGTCTTGCAACTAAATGGAGCTGAATGTGACTTTTCAAACTGGTTTATTTTGGTACTATCAAATAATTATAGCAGATTGATTTTCAGAACGTATGGCGAGGGCGACTAAGATGCAATTCGTTAAAGAAGCCAGTGGTATTTTCTATCCACTCGCTACCGTCTTCGAAGCACCTTCGGAAAGGTTTCGAACGCATGAAAGCTTATAATTGTACCTGATGCCGACTAATATGATTCAAAAAGCAGTTTGAATGTCATTAGCTCACTCATTTTTTCGCTCATGAGCTTGTGTGCTTATATCGGGTGTTAACAAATAGGATTCAAATCTATCATTTATCAATAAAGTTTGATATGCTTAGAAAATTGTGACAACGACTGAAATAAATGCACGAAATAAAATTGCAGTCGTGATTTGAGTTAGACCTTAAGGCCTCGGGCAGAGTTCACGCGATTTCATGGTCGCGAGTCATCGCGACAAGACAACTGTTACAAGTTCATTGGCCGATCTTCTCGTATTTCGGTCGTGATAGTTAGTCATGATTAGTCGCGTAGGAAAACTATCACAACCGAAATGCAAGAAGTTCGGCATGCAATGGTATTATCACAGCCGTCTTATCGCGATGAATCGCGACGATGAAATCGCGTGAACCCTGCTCAAGGCCTAAGGATTACTTTGATAGTAAGACAAGGCGAATTTTGCATAATAGAATTTCAGGACATTGTATAGCAGGTTTCTATTGTCACTTCGTTCCCTTCAACGTATAAAAAACCTTTTCCAGCAGAAATTGAGCAATTATCTTACAAGAAGGTATCCCAAGTTCCCAAGTCGCCCTAGGAATCTCTAATAAAACGCATATCACTAGACTCGTCTTATTGAGCTGAATTTAAATCTAACTTCTTTATCTGCTGCGCGATTCTTCGGAAGAAGTTATGAGCGATAACAATGTGACATTATGAATCATTATATCCCCAGAATGATGACGAAGAGTACATACAATGTCGCCAAGTTTGGGAAAGTTCTTCATATGGTAGCATTTTGTACAGTCATCTTCAATTAAATATTGATATGCGGAAAAATTCATCGAAATGGTATTGACTTCAAAATAAATTTGGGCCATCAGGGGCCATTATTGCTTCAGAAAGAGAACGAAGCAACCCAAATACCTACACTAAGCTATTAGAGTCGGTGACTCTAGATATGAAATTGCCTCGTTCGTAAGTCATGTCAGGTACGCTATGGATTGCTCTTGATGGCAGTCTCTGTGCAGAACTCGATAATAAATCCGCCCTGGGCTATCCGCAAAGCTAAATCTGAAGATCCACGTTAGAGAGCGCAGAAACGGTAAAAACATGCGCTAACTAAAGTTTCGTAATTCGAATTTGGACGATTGGAAAAGTTCCCGCCAAGAAAGATGCGAGTCGCTGCGGAACCTACGATTTTAATTGGACGGCATGCATACTTTGCAGCAGAGCAGGAATCTACGTGTGTGCGAGGCTCTTTCCCACTGTAGGTTTCCCAAATTCGTGAACAAATTTCTTGCTTTTATTCAAATGACATCGCTCTTGCGCGATGCGCCATGCTTGAAAATAATCGTATACAAATGTTCGAATTTTTGAGATTTTTTTGGAACGATAATGCCTTAAATGCTGGAGGTTTCCACCATAGTTGCGATAGGGAGAGCAATCTTACTTATCAAATAGCGATCTGGATCTTATCTTCTTTAACTCTTGGGCCAGAACCTGGTTGAGCCCCTTCACCTGGAGCTGAAATGGGAAGGTAACTCAAGAGTGGACCATGAAAGCTATTGCGGTCTCAACATCTTAGACTTAAACACAGCAACCACATACTCCATAAAAGACAGTATGTATATTGATCACGATAGAAATTACAATAGCCATATTTTTTGCCATTCTTTGTGGAGTTCTTGAATAGATACCGTAATATTATAATCAATTGATAAGAAATAAATATACAGGATGGGGCAAAAGTCTGGGAGCCGAATTTACAGTGTTGCAAACACGAAGGTACTCGCGATTTTGATACCAAATTTATATCACATGAAGCCGCATTTATCTTCTACAAACTACACTTTGTCTAGCTGAAAATGCTTGACAGATGTTTTTGTAAAATCGGATCAATTAATTGGATTAATTAGTTTGATGTCAAACAAGTGCTTCTACTGAGCGAGAAAATCAAAATTTTCAGGGTTCACAATTTATTTCATAGCTTAAGATGCGGTAAGAATTCCCCAACACTTTGATGCATACAATTTAGAGGAGGCTTTGCGCTATCACATCGTAGCATTTTCACATGCCAGAAACTATTTTTTCAAAACGCAAAATAATAATTTGCGAATATTACCTGCGCGCGTTGCCAATTGTCAAAGCTATAGGAGCGCAGCAGGTACTGAGATTTAGGTTATATCCTTTCGACAAATCTTCTATATAAGCATTCAATTGAATCTGATCGATGGAGCAATTTCAATACTTTTTAGATTGTGATTTTTTGCTCCTGTTCGCGCAATCGCATCCAAATTTCCAGTATGCGGGTAAACCTGCCTTCACTTAGAAGACCAAATTTTTCCTTACATGAGCAAAGAATTTGTTTGTAATAGTAGTAGCCAAAAGCTTGCTTTATCAGAGTGCACGTGCCTAGTGAAAGAAACAGTTATCGTGAAGGCGTAGAATAATTTCATCACTACCGCCTGCGCGCCACGACAGGCGGACTCGCCAAGATTCGAAGGGTTGCTTTGAAGCCAAAAGAGGCAATCTCAAAATTTGAGAGCTGCGCCTTATTCGTAAAGGTTCGATTTATGTGTGCACCAAACTTATTGCTCCTGGGTACTTTAGTTCTGATTTCATCTAAAAAAATAGGCTCGCAGACTTGTGCCCCACCTTGTAAATAACATCGAAAAAAATTAAATGTCAACTATGATCTGAGATCCGGTTTACGCCGCTTTCTGCTATGTTTTCTCTAAAAAATGTCATGAACAGTATTTTCAAAACTCAAGACTTTCTAAAGCTTGTCACAGCCTTAAGATAAGTCGTCATATAAACAACTTCGCTTGTAAGAGAGGAGTCGTAAACCAACTGATTGTATCCAGATCGAAACCGAGGAAGTTTTGTTGAAGACTGCAAAGCTCTGTGTGATCCTGGTTACTATAGTCAGTATAAGATTACGTGATAAGTTTACCTTTTTAATGTAATGAGAGAATTATATGTGTTTTTCATCAGAATGAACTCTTGTTATGTTGGCTAGATAATTCCCTCATTCCCTCATTGCTAACGAGGAAAGGATAGTTGTTGACCGTGGTCTTTCGCATTTGCCTTCACTCATCTCAAAACTGCGTTCGTTTTTTGCGAACGGTTCTTCAGAAAAACCGAACCTCTTCGCATCTGATGTGCTACACAAGAGTACGAGTAATGTCGACACATGCTAAAGATGTCAGTGGTTTAGCGGTTAGCGCTGTGGATTATTGCACAATGGATGCCGGTTTTTTAGCACCCTCGGCGCAAATACTTTTGCTTTTGCTTTCGCAGCGCTATTTTTCAGATGTTCCGGGGTGACCAGCATAGTTTCGAGATCAGCGTTCAGGGCGAGCATACTGATGCACAACAAATTTCAAAAGGTCGCGGTCTAATTATCCTTCCCTCGTAAGAAGAGATAAGAAAGTGCGGTTTACGTCAATTTTCATGATTTTAGCTTTCGAGTGGTATGTAGCATGTGGTTCTTTTGGTTCTTGGCTTCAAAAATCCTTGCTTCAGTGACCCATAAAAGCCAATACATTGAATGGGCTTGGATCAAGTCAATGGTAACTATTTCCACCCCGCTTTTGGAAACTGGCAAGTTTTTTTTTGCCCGACAATCTATAATTTGAAAGCTAGGGAACGAGAATTCGACGTAGACACGGTGACGACACAAGAAGGCGAATGTACCTCTCCCCAGGGCTCGCAATTCTCTGCTCCAGAGGTGCGCCAGATTTGGAGGGGCCCCAGAGCACCAAAATGGGTAAAATGGAAGGGCTCCAGAGCACGAGTGGCAAACCCCGCTGGGCAGACCCCGGGACCCTCCCATTTTCGCTCCGGAGGTATCCCATCAACTGTTTGAGTAAGAGTTTTTTCTTCAAAATCAATAAATCAATAGAAAGAATGAGATTTTAGCCGCGAAAAGTAGCCTACGGAGTAGGCCGGCCTCGAAAACATATGTTCGCGAAATTTGGCGCTAACCGGTTCACACACAAAAGTTTCTATAGAGAACACATTAACTAACAGTTTACCAACACTCAGTTTTACATATGTTTAGATTAGGTCCACAGTTTTATATATGTTTAGATTAGGTCATTTTTAAATGCAGATTTCTGCACACGAAGATTCAACTACCATTGATTATCTATCCATATTTTAGAGAGCAAGTCTTCGTTTATGGACGTAAACTGTTGACTTCCTAGTGCTTTCATCTTCTTACAACAAGGGAGCAGAAAGTGAGCACACGAATTCGCTGAGATATTGGCCAGATAAAACTTTCATTCCCAACTCGGAAGATCTAGAAGAAAACCAGTAGATTTATTCGATTCTTGACCTCAGCTTCTGAATGATATTCAGCTTGTTGGGGCATTTTGCGTCCAGGTCTCATGTATCACCTTCAACCTGCAACTTAATTTGCGCAGAGCGAGCGGTCCTCCTACAGGCTACTACTCAGACATTCGCTGCGGCGGCGCATGCGCCATGTGCGCGCGGGCACTCATGTCCCCCGCCGCCCGCGCGCTCGCGCCGCGAGTAAATGGTACACCGCACGCTAATGGAACGCCGCTACAACGGTACAAAGAATGCCATTCGCATTTGAAGCACTGCGAATCACGTTGAATCTGTAATGGGCTTGATGACAACCCCCCAACTCCAAGAAATCAAGCTGGATTCTGAATTTCTCAAATATGAACTTGAAGTTCCCAAATTTGAATTTGAAAACTGAAATTTCGAAAATTCAAGAATTAAAATCTCCAAATTTGAATTCAAATTCAGCACCTACTTGCCTTCGAAGACTGACTCTCGGTGGAAGAACCCCACTTCTGTTGAAGAGACAACTTTAGTGCGAAGCAGCGATAACCTCTTTGAATTAGCGATGAAGCACCTGAAACTCTGCGTCGTACTTTACGGGTATCGCTTGTGCTTACAGCGTGTGAGAATGCGAAAGACATCATGGCACAGCGCTCACTGGTAATTTGCGCGCCGCTCGCAGTCTCAACAGGGCGCGCCGCCGCACCGAGTGTCTGAGTAGGTGCGCCGCCGGCCGTAATAGGGCGCGGCGCTCGCACTGCAGCCACAACTATGACGCACGCTCACTCGGCAGCCTATTACT